AACCCAGGCCATTCTATGATTTTGATGCTTTTTGCTAATCCTATTTGAGGAGTTCGCTTATTTATTATTTTGTATCAACAGCGCAGAAGTATCTTGACCTGATGTGACAGGACTATGTGCTACTTTGTATTATGATGTATTCGATAATAGAAATCATTTCAGGTACGTTTTGAAGTCACTTCTTAAATTTGAACCTGCAGCTGAAGTTCTGCCCAACACTTTCAGTTATATGGAAATATTTTCATCTGAATAGATCTCAGTTAAGGTTAATCTCACAAAAATGCAATTTTATTAGTATAAAATTTGTGATTTTTTTTTTTTTTTTTTCTTCTCTGCTTTCTAAGCAAAATAGCATTTTCTTACTATAGGTAGAGGACCTATAGTGTTGAGTCGAAGGGAGACAGAATAATTCTGCCTCTTAAAGAGCAGGAATAAGTGGCATGCAAAGCAGCAACAGTTGGCAGTTCGGATCACTTGTGTGCACTGCATGGGGTGCAGCTGAGTGATGGTGTTGGAATCAGGATGCTAGGTTTAGATTCAGAAGGCGAGTGGGTGAACACTGAGACCTTTGGGTATTGCCTTTGGCATTCAGAAACCCTACTTCTGCCTGGGAAGATTTGAAACCCAGATCTTGTGGGGTGGGGATGGTGTACAAGTGAAGCAATCACCATGTGTTTGCTGTGAGCTGTTGGTGAAGGTGGGATGCTGGAGAGATGGGCTTTTGGTCTGCTCTTTGTTAGCAGAGTGCGAGCCTTAATGCTGTCTCCTAAGTGTTGCAGCTGCATAATTAGCATTCCAATAATATTTTAGTTATCTGACTGCTTTAAATGAGTCAGTACAATGCAAACAGTGAAATTATTTTGGGTTGTTTGTATATTTGAGCGTGTAGAAGGTCTGTTAATTAGTTAAACTTTTTAATAAACACTTAAAGTAAACTTAAGGCCCAGTTAAATGATTAAAACTTTTCAATTTAGCTTTATAAAATCACAAGGTAGGGCGTTCTGCATCTAAAAATACCTAAGAAATACACAAGTGCTTGGAGAGCCATGGGTCACCTTTGGTGGTGGGATGTTTTTAGACTGTTACTGCTGCCCTGGAAAAACAATTCACAAACAACTTTTTTTCCCCTTTGTCTCGCTTCACTGAAGTTCAGTGTGACTAAATACAATGTCCTGAAAAGGGCGGGGAGAAAAAGGGAAATCCCTTGCATGAAAATAGCTCCTGTTATTTGCTGATGTCCCTTCTGTCCATGAAATGCTAGGATTCCTTGTTGCTTGACTGAGAGATAAGATTAGCCTCATTCAAACTGATCTTAGGTTTTCTTTTTTTCTTTTATTTATCTTTTCCTGGAAGTATAGCTACCAGTTGGTAGGCTTTGGATCCTGTTTGCAGAGGGTGTGGGGAATCATTGCTTTTCAGCTTTGAGGTCAGGCCTTTGGAGGGTGAGCTGTGCCCACGTCCAGCATTGCATTTCCAGAGATTGAATTTGATACCCAACGTGGCAAGGTGGTCAATCGGAGAGTAACTTTCCTTAATAGATGTTTGTGCTTTTCTTTTTAAAAAAGCAGAGTGATAGTGCTGTTGTTTTCACCAGATTATTAGTTATGTGCTAGTGAATGCCCCTCCTTTTTTATGACTGGTAATACATACAGCCTGCTCTTGAATGCTGCACGGTTGTGTCTTTGTGCATCTATATTTGATTCCATAGTCAGAGTTTCTAAGAATATGATTAACCCTGTGGGTCATCTTATAATGTAATTATTAATGATTGATTCTGTTTATCCTTGAAATCAATATAAGAAGCAAAATGGTTTGGCATATATTTGGGGTTGATTTCTAACAGTCAGTAAACATGATCTCGCGACAAGACTAGTATAGGTTTATTTTACTCAGAACGTGTTTGATGAATCTGAAGTGTGTAATTAGTTTTATATAATGATGGTGATACGTGGTGTTTTTACATGACTTATGTTAATATGGCCAATAGTGTTAACATCTCCTGCCACTAATAGTTAGGGTGGGGATGTATAGTAATTGATCTTCCTGGGAGTGCTGTAATGTAAAAACAATTCAGGCTGTTTGAAGTATATTTTACAAGTGTGCATTGGGCCTTTGGGATGTTATACTGAAAAACCCAATTGTACAGTTACCATGGGAACCCAATTAGAATAGATTGCTTGAGTTTTTTTCAGTCTTTCATCTTGACCAAAAATCTAATGTACTTTAAATGTTTTCATATGGAATTTTATTCATATACTGACTTGATATATTAGCTCTTTTAAAATTTTAGTACCAAAACCAAAGAGTATTAAGTTCTCTGGATCCTTAGGACTCTTCTTTCAAGGAGAATCTTCCTTTATTATTTAAAAGTTGATGAACTAAGAAAAATGCTTCTTATCAATCTTAGAGGTCTCATCATTGTGCTGCCATTGCGTGTGCTTTGCAGGCTGGAGTTCTGTGAGAGTAAGGAGGAAAACTCCTGAAATCCCAAGGACTTGTGTTCTAAACCATCAGCACCATCTGGCTGGAATACTTCATGGCCCTTAAAGAGTCTTAGTTTTGACATATGATCTGGCTGTTCTCTACATTTATGTTCTGTTAATGTATTTCAAGGTTTGGTATGCTTGCAGGATAGGTCTACAATACATTGGCTTCCTGTCCTGTAGGTGGTCCTCCTACAGAGGAGCTTCTATGCAGCACTGATGGATTTGTTCTGCTCTCCATACCTCAGGGGCATCCTGTACCTGGCTGCTCATCCATTGGCAGGGCACCCAAGGAGGAGCTCAGTGGGAGGTGGGCTTCCTTGGTCCCTCCCAGCCAGGCAGCTCTGTGCCAGCCAGTGATGGTGGGGACAGATTTTGCATTTTTCCATTTCTGCTCACGATTCAGTCCCTGCAGTTTGTCCAGTCTCTGCAGGTGTAGGAGGAAACCACCCACTTGGTGAAGTGGATGATGGTAAGAGCTCAGTCTTTAAGACAGGTTCAGTGATTCTGGGGTCTCAGTTTGTGATATGTGAGCCAGAATGAGGGCGGTCCTGTGTGGAGCCAGGAGTTGGACTCGATGCTCCTTATGGGGCCCTTCCAACTCAGGATGTTCTGTGATCATGGTTGAGTCTGAAAAGTCATTCCTGTGCCATTCGGGAGAGATTTTGAGTTCTTAGCCTATCAGCCTTAGGGGAGCCTTCAGCTACATTTGGAAATGAGTTAGTGCATGTGTTGGCCTCTTGTAATGAGGCAGCCTCGTTGAAAGGTTGATAAGATGCATTTTGGAGCCATACTTTGAAATTCCCCAGCCCTTTGAAGCTGGGGAGCTGTCCTGTATGGCTTTCCCCAGCACAGCTGCAGGCCTTCCTCCTGGCCCTATGGTTTGGGTTTTACTGACTATGTTTGTTGGATCCACCTGTCAGCCATACTGACACTTGGAGAGCTCCACCTGGGGCAGAAATGGGTCATGAACAGTCATCAATCATTGAGCCTCCTTGGACACCATGCAGCTTCTGCCCAGCTAATTGCTTCATTTGTCCTTCTCAGCTGCCGTGCTCCCCAGGTCTGTGTGTCCAGGGGCTTCCCCTGCACATCTCCTGCTCTGCAGAGCTCCTCAGTGTGCAGCCGGGGCGCTTGCAGAGCGCTCAGTAAGTCTTTGTGTAAGGATCCTTACAGCTGGATCTCTTCCTGGCACAGCCCAGTCTCAAAGTCAGCCGGTTTCTCTGCCAGACCCCATGTCCCTCCTGAGCTGTGTTTGCTTACAGTCGGCTTTCATTCTGGTGCAGCAGGTAGAAAGTGCTGCTTGCAGGCACAGCTGTGTGAAGTTGTAGGGGAAGCTGCATCGTCGGTTGCGTTGAGGAAGCGTGAAAGGGAGTTGTGTAAAACTGTTGAAGGTAATTTTAGTGACTGATCTGGATTTGCCTTCGACTGTATGGGTTGCACCTAAAATATGAGAGCATCTTTATGGGATGATGAGGAGATTTTGAGATAAACATCAGTGCTTTGTGTAGAACTTCAGTAGCGATTAAGCTGCCGTTGCCACTGCAGAAATTAGCTGCTGCTTGAAACAGCTTCAAGTCTCATTTATTTTTTTTGTATTTAATGTGGCTTCTTTCATAAGCAGACAACGCTTTTACTGCAAATAAATACCATAAATTTGTTCTGAAAAGGGACGTTTGCTGAATGATGCTGTCCCAAAGACAGCTGCTTGGCACAGAATGAGCACTCCTTGCCTGCCAGGAAGGATAGTTTGCATTCCCTTGCCTTTCATGGTATGATTAATAGATAGAGAAATCTTGTGTTTGACATCATCTCCTCACAGTTACAGTTTTTATTTTTTCTCTACTTTTTGCTGCTTTAGTTTTATTCAAGCTTATACTGGAATGTTTACTTAGGTTTCTTTTATAATAGCTACAGCATTCAGTGCATACGTGAGTGGTGGAAGAGGTGCTTGGCAGATAGCAGCCCATTGCTCTCAGCTGTGCTTCCTTGATGTGCTCATCATTTTCAGCTTTTGGGTTATCTCATAAGTTTTCTTGCTTGTCCAGCATGTAAAATGTTAAAATGTGTCACTGGGAATTCCTCTCCTTACTTTCAGATGGGTCCAAGCATCCCTATCTTAAAAGAAGAAGAAAAAAAAAAATACTTCTAGTGAAAAATTGAGGGATCTCTAAAATGTGTTGAGGTGAAGTGGATTTGACTGTAGGGCTGCAGCCTTCCCTCTTGCTCTGTTATCCTTCCCTTTTATTTTTGGTGGTGTTTTGAGGCCTCAGCCTCCATTCCCTGGTATTGAATGCCTTCTGACTGCCTGGCTGCCCTAGCACAGGGTGCAGGTGATGCTCAATTAACTGTTAAATGGTGACTGTGTGATGCTTGGTGCAAGTGAGGCAAAGTGTTTAGATGGAGTTCTGTGTGGCCTTCATTCATATTCAGGTTCCCAAAGATGCAGGTGCTTCAGTACTCAGATTCAGGTGCTCTGAGCTTCCCTCCTTGCATTGAGGCATAGATTAGAGGATGGCTTGGGTTAGAAAGGACCTCATGGATTGGGTTCCCTGGCTGAAGGCCAGAGCTCCCTGTGGACTTTGGCTGAGTTCTGACAGCTGCCTTGATTTCCAAAATGTCATGCTACAGCATATCTGTGTGGAGACACAGTGATTTTAATGTAGCAACAGTAAGAAGAAAGTGAAGGGGGGAAATGAAATGCTGAGGAAGTAGCAGTTGTCTTGCATTTCAAAAGGGAGAGCAGAGGAACTATTTTGTTAATAGTAGTTAAAAGATGTATTTCAGTTCCAATAATTAACGTTTCCTTTGTGCTTCTTTGCAAGCTTTGCCTTCAAGCCCCGAGTCTTATTATGAAAGTCTCTTGCTTTCATTCTTTAAAATACGTAACTCCCTAAAATACAGAAGTTTCTTTATTTCACTAAATGCCTCAGAAATGCATTTCTGCCTGCACAAATAATTCCTGAGTTCCTAGCAGGTCTTAGAGGGTGTTCTTGTTGGAAAGATCAAAATTTGCTTGTTAAGAATGTGTTGTGGTGTTGCTTTTGCCTCACAACAAGGGAGGGATGACCTGACGAGCATCAGCATTCCTGTTTGCTTGGAAATATAAGTGAATACTTAAATAAGTAGCCTTTATTTTGTTATTATTTGTACTAACAGATAGAGCCTGTTTAAAGAAAATGATTCAAAGTTCTAAAAAAAAAAAATCATGTTGATGTGCTGTGCTTTCTGTGATACTCTAATTACATTTCCTAATGAAGATTTTTTTTCTTACAGACATCTTTCATCTACCATGGCATCAAGGCGTGTTCCAAAAGTAAGTTCCTTGTAAGATACCCTTACATGTAGGTGCATGTTAGGGGGCTGGCATTAAAAAAGAATTCACGTAACGTAGTTTGTTTTTTTCCCCAGTGTCCAGCAGTCAGTATTAAGGATCCAGTTGACAAGATTGATGCTGCACTGTAAATCTCTGTAGCTCTGTCATGGTTGGTAACAGGCATCAGTGGACCTTTCCTCAGCACGTATCTATCTTCCTCAGAGCATAAACTGATAGGACAGCACTACCTTTTCTGTGTTAAGTTGGCTGTTTGCTTCCCTTTCCTCATAAATGCCTCATTTATTGAAAAACAGATGCATGCTGAATTTTGGACTTTAATACTTCAGTAAGGTCTAAGTGTAGGGAAATACTTGTTTGTAGTAAAACAGGATAGCAGTGCTATTTGTCAAGAAATACAGAATGACTTTCCCTGCTGAGGGGCAGCATTGGCGCATTTATACTCAGCAGCCTTAGTCTTCAAGTAATTGAAATGAACTTTGAAAATACTTTTTTGTGTGTGAAATAACTACTTTTGTAACAATACTAATGCTCCTCCAGGAAAATATTTCTAGTTCAATCAAACTTGCATATCTAACTATTCCTGCTGGCAACTTCCATCGCTATTACAAATGTCTTAATAGTGGCATCTCTTGTGGTTTTAATTTGCTTCATGTATTGGCTGGGAAAAGCAGTGTTCTGGCATATGCCATGCCTTTGTACCCATTTGCTGAAGATTTTTTTTTTCCTGCTTTTCCTGAAAGAAAATGCTTTCTGTTTCTTTAAAATTGAACAGTTGAGGAAGGAAATTCTGGAAGATAAATTCACGTTCTGCTTTTTTCTTTTACCCAATATTCTGTGGGTTTGTATTTGTGCTCCTGTTGGTTGGAGGCATCTTGTAGCAGATACCTTGGATAATTGCGGAGAGATGTTTGATCTTAGGAAGAACCACCACACACATCTTGAATAGTCACTAGTTGCCTCTCATTCAAAGCTGGATGTGACAGAGCTGGTAAGCAACATGAAACTGATAATTTATTACCTAACCTTTTCAGTTCTCCCACTCTCACTTGAAGTTGAAGGGTACGGTGTTAGCTGTTAGGCGAGCTTTTCCTTTTGATGTGTTGGATGGCAGAAGGTCTGAGGCAAAACGTGGACTCAGCCCTGTGCTCTATGGGGAGCAGAGGGCTGAAGGGAGTCGTGCAGGCACAGCCAAGGCTCCCCAGCTCCCTGCTGCTGATCCCCTCCCACCCTCCTGTATTTGTAGTTGCTCATGATTCCTTATTATCTCCATATTTATGATCAGTTTGCAGTTATACTGGAAGTACAACCACACAGTATATGGCTTTGTGGCACAAACTATACCTGGCTCACACATTCTTCAGCAGTCAGTAATCATCAGTGTAACATGCTGAGCAGTTCTAAGTGGGTTGCTGGGAAATGGATTCTGAAAGCAGCCAGGTGTGGGTGCTCTCCTCAATTGCTGCTGTCTCCCTCTGGGTACCGTGGCTCTGTAGCTGCATTGCAGTGACCAGAGGTGGAGATTGGGTGGAGGTTGGGCCTGAGAAAGGGAGGCTGTAACGTGGCCCCAGTGATGTGGTGAGGTGTTGGTGGGAGGTGGATGGTTGCACTGAGTGGTCTTGGAGGTCTTTTCCAACCTCGGTGATTCAGTGTGCATGAGCATACATTAGGAATGCATTTGCTTGGGAACTTTTTGATTTTATGGTGTTCTCTTGACAATGTGGCATTTTTTTTCTATTCCATGAGATATAATTCCAAATACAGTTCTATGGATATTTTGCAATTTTTAAATTTAAACTTAGTAGGCTATTTACTTTTAACTGAATGTTCTGCTTTGTTCTCTGTGCTCAGTGTCATGAAACACCTGTGCTCAAGTGAACTCAGATTGGTAACGACAGCAAAATTCAGACTTTGTATGACAAGACTGTAATCCTCTATTTCTGTGTGAGTCTTTTTTGACGTGTCTTTGTGTGTATTTATTTTTTCTGCACGTGCATTTGTATTTTTAGTGGATTCTTAATACGCAGACCTCTGTTCCATTTATGCTTAAAGCTGTTCCACTCACTTGAAAAATTTCAATGAAATTCTTTTCCTGAAAACAATTCAGATTCCTGACTCTCCTTTAGCTTAAAAAGGAGCACTATTAATGGTTTTGCTCATATTGCCTAGATTTATTCTGTTGTTATTCTCCAGCTCCCGCTCCTCAGGTATAGCTGTTTTGGTATTATAGAGAATGATGGATTATGTGGGAAAGTTTCTTTTGAAGCACTCCTGATATTGTGCAATGCACTTGGGGGTCAGCTCCACTTGACTGATGCATGATTTATCCGATGTCCCTGCCACTTTCGGAGATAAAGCTGCTATTTTATCAAAAATGCCAGCAAGTGTGATTTAGAATTTATACACCTCCTTTTTTCAAATAATTGTTCTGATTACTTTCTGGCACGGCAATAAAATGATAAAGGTAATTGCACACAAATGTGAGATAGCACCAAAATACAATAAAATTAACCTGAATTAGCTTGACTTGTCGATGAGAAGTATTTATGAAATGTATTTTTGCAATAAGGGAGACTGATATTATAGCTGGAAGGTGAGTTATTGCCTTAATGTAATACTGTTTGAAATTTAAAAAAGAGACTGTTACAGTTGAGGGTGATTGTGCCTTTGAAATTAAGTTGAAGTGATTCTTATAATTGGCAGCAATAATGCATTGTGAAGGTAATATCTTTTATTGTGTTATGCCTAGTTGCATTACCTTTTATTTAGCTGGTCCTGATTTCAGCTCTGTGGTGAGTGTGAGAAGGAACAGATCAAGAATTTTGTGGATTTAGGTGATAAAATTTAAAATGTTACCTTATATTAAAATCATTCTTTTGCTAGATTTTCTCATTTTTGTCTGTTTGCAATCCTGATTAACCTGATGCAAGTCTCATTGCATTAAATAAGGAAAGCTCTTGTGTTAGAATAGTTGCCATACATTTACATACACAGCTGAACCTGGTAGCAGTAGTGCACTCCAGTATTTGTGTGGATAAATACACATGTGTATCAGGTGCTGTCCTTGCTAAATTTTGTACTTCTTTAACGCCTTGAAGTACTTTGTATTTTTGTGTTTGTATTACAAATGCCTATCTGCACACGTCCTCAGTCAGTACTTTGGTAATTAAAATGTTCATTAACTGACTTTTTTTTTTTTTTTTTGAGTTGCCAAACACTTGTGTGAAATATGGACAAATGCATATTGTTTTCCTTTGTGTGAGCCTTGTTAAAACTGGAACTAGTAACAGCTAGATGCTGATTGCAGGGCCTCTAATTTCTAGAGACCACATTCTTCATCTTTGATTCTTTATGATGATAACTGTTTCTTTGCCTGTTGGGCAATGCATTCTTTCACTTCTAGTGTTTCACTGCATGTGATTGATGCTAAAACAGTGAACAACTGAACAAAGTGTCACTTTGCCTAGTGCTTCTAATTGAATCTTCTGGCTTAAGATTCCCAGTCTAAAAATAAGAGGCTCTTAATCCATCTGTAGGTCACAGTAGGGTAGGGGTAGGAGTGGTGACGTGCACCGAGCACAGGAGGTGGAAGTGCCAAGCAGCATGGCTTACAGGGTGACTGCTGGTGGGGTTCACAGGCACTCCATAATGGCAGGGAGCGTAGGCAGTGATGAGTTCTCTTTGCTGTTTGTGATATAATTTGCTTAATGCAGAAATGTCTGGTCCCATCTTTTTTTTTCCATGTTCACATCAGTCCATTTCTTGCCCAGTTCTACTCCAATTCACTCTTATCTCTAGACAGCCCACCATTTCAAACAGCATATCCTTTAAGCTTAAGGTGGGTTGTTTCACTTTTTTTTCCCCTCTTGGCACTGAGATGCTTAGGGATGTCATGACCCAATCTTGAAACCTGGATGGCAGCCCACCGTAACCCAATGTCTATAGTTCATTAACATCATTCCTTCATATGTTACTCATACGCAGCGTGTAGTGATTTGACTCATTTTCCAAGTATTCATCTCAGCTTGCTGCTAAAATGGCATAGAATGACAAACCTTCTATGCTGTGTATACATTTTAAACTATGTTGTCCCAGCAGTGGCTGCTGCACATTCATAACATTTAAGTTTCTTACATAAGTAAGAGCTGGGGAAGCTACAAAACATGCTTGTTTACTTATTAGTGGGAGAGATTCAGGAAAAGGCTTCAGTAGGTGCTTGTAGGAAACAGTACAGCTGAATTCCTGTTTAAACAGTCCATTAAGGTCTTGTGTTTAAGTGTCTGCTGATACTAATGTCTGAAATCAAAGCTTGGCACGCAAACAATGGATGAAGTAGAAAAATGTGGTAACTGAATGTTGCCTAGAATACAATAGTAGTAACCCAGCTGCCTCTTTGAAAAGAGAAGAATTAATTCCATCACAAATAAAATACCATTCTTTAAGTAAAATCGCAGTGTCAGAGGCGGTTCTGCAAGTAAGATGAAGATGTCTGAGGTAGCCCTGGTAAGCACACTGGGAACTTGCCATCTGACGACCAGGGTAACTCCTGTCTGCCAAAACAAGCGACTGAAGACTCAGCCAAAGAGCCAGAGGCTACTACTGCTTGGAAATCCACTTTTATAGCTTGGCATTTCAGGGTCTTTTGATTGCCATCCAAAGAGGATTAGTAGTATAATACGATGGGACAACAGAAACTTGCGCTTGCTGTCTTTGATTGTTTAATAAAGAATTATGTGTTTGCTCTCGTTGAATACTTTTTAAATGCTTTAGGAAGCAAATGTTGCTCTGTGTGCACACGAACATATTTCCTTCTGTTTTGTCAGCGGCTTGTGTGGAGCAGACTTTCTAATAAGTGAAGATGGGGAGTGATTTTTAGTGCCTGTTTGGTGCATGTTTGTATGTGGTCAGACCGTGCAGTTTAATTCTGTGCCTTAACATTTTCATTACGTATCTTTGGAATACAAAGAAATTTATATGGCCCT